GGTACCTGCTCACAGAGATGAGAGAGGGTTAAACAGTGCCTCAGCGGGATCAAAGGCTGTAGGACTCAAGGCTGTCATCAGACTTCGGGTCTAGAGACCTCAGAGGCCAGAGAAGAGGGAAAACAAAGCCGCTGCTAGGGAGTTGAGAGTAGACTGGGCGCGTGGATGGAACAGAACTGGAGGCAAATAAACAGAAACAGGAATGGGCACAGACAGGAGGGGTTGAGCCCTGGGTAGGATGGACAGAGCTGGCAGCTGGCCAAGAGCTGTCAGGAGAGGTGACAGCAGCCTGTTGGGTAGCGAGCTGTTTCTTACAGATTACATTCTCCCACCCACACCAAAAACTGGGCTGCGCCTGTCCTGGTTCAACCTCCTCTTCAGATGCAGAACTCTCCAAGCTCTGATGTGACACTGAGTTCTGGGTTTGGCAGAGTGATGCCAAGAAATAAAAATGCGAGAGAGGCAACTGTCAGAATAACCAAACTTCCCACTGGCTATCACACCAGCACCCACTGCCCGAGCCTCTCAGTGGCAGAGGCATTCCTACTTCTCGCTGGCTGCAAGACACAGGGAGGCACTCTGGCCCTTTCCTTCTGCGGAGGGAGGGGCTGCCACCTTCTCCCGGGAGCCTCCACAGGGACGGGTACTCCTCCCCCGCTTCCTACTATGGCAGTGGTGGAGACCACATGTCAGGACTGCAAGAACTCAGGGCTGGGTCTGGTTTCCTGCCAGATCTCTGGTTTATGCTTGCAGCGAGTTCACTTTAATTAAGTGATAACACCACAATGCTTCCACCACGCTAGCTCCCCTAGAGATCAATCAGCCCAGAAGCCACTGGGCAGGGCACTCCAGATGGAGTCTCATAAGAGTTCAAGAGGACAGAGGCCCTCGGAGAATTCAGGTAGCTCATGTGTCAAGTGCAGGGATGAGATTCTGACTACCTGAGGTAAGGGTTTAGACAGTGCCTGCACAAGGCTGTCTCCAAGAGTCACCATCCGTAACAGCCTTGTGTAATCCATGGCTCATAGGAAGAAGTAGCTTTAGCCCAATTTTTGTAGAGAAAGAAATCTAGGGCCTGGGGCAAAAAGGTTTTCTGAGCCACATTACCCATAAATGCCAGGGTGGGGGTTTCATTCTTTACCCCATACTCCACCCTGTCTCTGGGATACCCACTCACACCCTCAGTGAGGCAGCCCTGTTAACATAGACTGGGCATGCCCCCCACCAGAGCCTTACCTCAGCTGTTAGGGACTGTGTGCTCTCTCTCTCTCTCTCTCTCTCTCTCTCTCTCTCTCTCTCTCTCTCTCTCTCTCTCTCTGTCTGTCTGTCTGTGTCTCTCTCTTTCTCTCTCTCTCTCTCTCTTCCTTCCTCTCCCCCTCTTTCTCTTTCTGTCCCTCTGCCCCTCCCCTCTATTTAAAAGGTAAAGTTGGGTAAAACTGTACCCGTTACTTTTCTCATTGTGGTCACAGAATACCTGGCAGAAACCATGTGTGGAGGCAGGGGTTGACTCTGGCTCATGGTTCAGGGGATGCCTGGCTCATAGACCAGGTGACAACGGCATTGTTGCAGGCAGCTCCACGATGGCAGGAGAACCAGACAGTGCACCCCATTGGGTTGGTGGTCAGGAAGCAGGGGAAGCAGAGTGAAAGCCGTTCTTCTACTCCCTTCCCCTTTTTATCCACGGCAGGGCGGGAGTGCGGGGTGTGGTGCTGCCCACAGCCAGTGTGGCTCCTCCCTCCTTAGTTACACCTCCCTGGATGTTCCCTCACGGTCACACCCAACTGTGTGTGTGCCTCATTAACACCTGTGTGCCCATTAATCCAGCTAGGTTGATCAGAATTAATCAGACTTAACTATTTAGAACTAACCATCGCAAACGTCTTCATACAATGGGAAGAGGGTATGTGTTTGTGGTAAATATATGTGCGTGCATGTGTGTGTGTGTGCGTTGCATTAGAAATATATATTGTATTAGAAACAGTGTTCAAAGCAAGAATAAACCAGAGGAAATGAACACTACTGGGCAAATAAGGGGCTTACTCTGAATGTAATAAAATGTACATTATATTAATAACAACACAAGCAATGCTAGCAGAGCTGAGCAGTGCTCAGGAAGAGATAGTTGACAGGGGGGGGGTCCTCTTGGGGGCTAGACATGACCTATGTCTTGACCAGAGTGGCATTTCAAGGAGTAGGTCACTATAGAGGTCACTGAGTTACACGGTTATGCTTGATGCCATTATGTGAAGTCTATCACAGCTCAACAAAAAGGAAGAAACCATGTAACTGTGATTCAAATGCTTCATTTTCAGAGAAATCTGTCTTTCCGAGTTTCCATAAAATCCATGTAAGCAGACTGAGGTGATATGAAAATGGAATGGCTGGATTATTCGGGTGGCTTCATCAACCAGCAACTGTCCTGCGTGAGGTCTGGGCAGGCATCACTCTTCCAGGACCTTCTAGTTACGACACTCTCATTGGAACATGCAGAGTATGTGGGTCACACTAGAAACAATGTGACCTTGTCCACACCCGTCCTGTTCTAAGTCCGGAAGATGCTCACCTCACCTCAACCACACTCATTCACTGTGGCTGAGGATGCTCAGGGGAAAGAAGAGTCTGTTGTGATTTGCAAGTGGAATCCGGCTTTGGCTCCTTCTTGGTGTAGCAGAATGTTAGTGATTAGTTACCCATGGAATTTTAAAGATTACTCTGCTGGGCACTTCAAGGTAGCTCACCTGACCCAGGTAATGCCTGGCCTCCTGTGAGTTCTTGTCAACTCCCCTTGGTCCTAGGCTTCCAACATTCCACTTGACCCAGACTCTCCCAGTGGGACTGTATAAGCCCTCCAGGAAGTCTGCTGGGGTGGGGCAGGGACAGATCCCATTCCCTGAAGGTCTACTTGCTCACAATGTAGAGAAGGCCCCCTGTCTATGTATACACAGCTCCTCACGTGGCCCTATCGAACACTTTGTACCTCTGCCTAGGGAATGTGACCGGTGGCTTCCTCAAACTGTCTTCCACGGCTGACTGAGAAGCAGCTCTGCTCTGTCCTCCTGTGGGAGGTAAGTGGACCCTGCCACCATCCCTGACACAACCTGTCTTGACTTCCCACTGTCGAGTCTTGACTTCCCACTGCTGACTGAACACAACTGTGGTTGTTTTCAAGAGCTTCCTCTCGACCTCCTTAGGTGGCCTGGCACCTCCCCTTAAGGGTGTGCAGTCTTTGTGTCCTCTGCCCCACCCCTGAGGTTTTGGTCCTCTGCCTGAATGTCTAAGGCAGTGAGAGGAAGCAGAGGGTGAGCCTGTAGTGCAGGAATTACACCAAGTGCAGTGGCTGAGAGTGGCTACCTCTTCCCATGACTAGAAATTCCTTGAAGTCAGAGACCACGTGAATCTTAGTTGCCCTCACGCCCAGCCCAGCACAACTCTTATTAATAGATAAATTGAGAAAACAGAAAAGGTAGGACTGATGCTCAAGCATAAGTGCTTTGAGGGAAAGAGGTGTCTCATGCTTAAATGCTTTCCCTGAGCCCATGGTGAGCCACAGTCACAGCTCCTTTTCCTCATCATTCAGTGTGTGTGACGTTTCTCAAGTGGACAGAGTCTCTTCAGAATGACCTAGCAGTAGACAACTCCAAAAAAAAAACCAAAACAAAACAAAACAGAATTGCCCTGAAATATATTAAGTCTGTGACAGCCTCATGAGTGAGCCACAGGTCTTGGTTGACTTGACAGCCTGGAAGTCTCTCAGAAGATCACAGTAATCACAGGAGTCAAGAGTAGCACAGATCTGATGCCTTTGGAGACTTGGGAATTCTGTAAATGATACAGAAGGCTTTGCAGCAGGAGGTGTGTGTGTGTGTGTGTGTGTGTGTGTGTGTGTGTGTGTGTGTGTGTATGTGTGTATGTCTCATGAAAATACTACCTTTCCACAGCAATGTCAGCACACACATTGTAGTATGGAGCTCAGCTTTTGGGTTCATTGGAGGACACAGCCCATGTTTTGGCTCCCTTTGGAAACTAAACGGCAGAAAATGATCTCGTGAAGAAAGTGAACAGTAGTGGCATTGAAATGTAAACCCCGTTCAACAACAACCAAGCAGATGTCTGTCATGTGCCCAGGACTACAGAGCTAGGGCAAACATGTCTGTGCTTCATGACTAACTGCAGTCAGAGGAAAAGAACATCTCCCCCATCCTTAGCAGCAGGAGTCTGAATCACAAAAGTCCAAGTTTGTACTTTACGTTTAATGCAAAATGGTCTTCAAGATTTGTCACATCTTTGATCTGAGCCAATCAGGGCCCTGGTCTTTCTAGCCAACACTCCTTATAGACTACTAGCCAACATCGGGTCCAGGAAGGCCTGGCCTGCAGTCAGTAAAGGTGCAAATTAGAACCAACAAGGTAAAGAAGTACCTGGCTTTATTTTGCAAAAGGGGAATAAATTCTACACATTTTTTTCAATAGAAAACTATGAGATTTCTTTCAACTTAAAAACAGAGTACTAGGAACCAAAACATAAAAAGACATGAGGTAAAATTTGGTGAATTTTGTGAATTGGTCTAAGAAAGCCCTCCCTTATCAGATAAAATTTATTTTTGGCCTTTATGGGGCACTGTGGTGTTTGCCTCCACGGCTCTGGGTGCCACTGAAGATGGGAGCCTCTGCAGCACAGCTCCAGAGGGGACCCTGAGAAATGTAACCCCAGGGTACTCTAGTGCAGTTGTGACCACCACGGCTTTGGCATGGCAGGAAGAGCCGCCTCTGAGATGGGGAAGAGGGAGCCCCACTTTGCCATGTACCTTGGATTATCTGCAGGCGTGAAGTAGCAATGTTGGGAACACATGTGCCTTTTCCTTACATCTCCCCTTCTTAACTTCTAAAGCCCAAGGCTTCTAACCACCGCATGCCAGGAGACCATTTACATGTGCAATGACTTGAAAAGCTCACTTAAAACATAAAAATCCTTGAAAGTAGTCCCTGGAACTTCCAAATTACCTGTGCATGCTTGGAGACCCAGTGACGGAGGACATTCAGGACACGATTGGTGGCTGTTCTCCGTATGATAAACTCCTTGTCACATGTTCTCTCAGTATTGTTAAATCCTTTGGAGGAGAAAAACCACACATTGTAGTTAGGGCCAGTCCCCAGGGATTAGAAAAGGTCACTTATTTTGGGATTCCTGTTAATGAAACTCACACATGCTGCATCTTGCCAGGGAGGAAGGTGGCTTTAGATATGTGGTCCCTGCTTACTTATTATACTCTCACAGTCAGCCCACCGCAGTTACAGGTGCAATTACATGAATAATGCACAAGTATTTATTAAAGGCCACTGAGGAAAGCTAGCCATCCACCGATGACACTTCTATTTATGCCTCTCGCGATCTACAATACAAAGCCAAGAGGGAGCTCTAACAAAAGGAGTGGAGCCAGTATGGATTTTTTTATACCTTTGCCACAAAGTGATTGTGTAACCAACAGTATTTGAAGATGGAGGTGGACTTGCAAGGGAGACAAATACTCTATTGCCCATCTGCAAACAGTACAGCCAATGCTTGAAAAAGAAGTATTTGAAAGCTGCTAGAAGTATGGATTTCAAATGTTTTCACCTGAGAAAACTTGTAAGTACACAAAATGAAGGATTTGTTGGTAAACTTTAATCACTATGCAATATAAACATACCAACACATCTCTTTCATATCCCACAAGCAGATAACGTTTATGTAATTGGTGTTTGGAATAAGATTGGAAATAAAATAATTCAAAACAAAAAGACTGGTTGTCACATTTGCCCTCGAGCTCTGGTAAATCATATCAGTCTCTGATGTCAATTATGTGTCCGTCTCATAGAGTTGTTGTGGAATTGCACTTGTTAACTCGTCAATGTTAAACATTATCACAGTGCCCGTACAATGGCAAGAGCTCACATGTCAGCCATTGCTATAATTCAGTATTTATCTGGTGTCTTGGTGGGTGGGCAGGTGTAGAAATCTTGGGCTTTTTATGCACACCAGGCCAGTTTCTACCACCAGACTCTACCCCCAGCTCTAGCCCAGTGTCTCTGAGTTCCTCTGTCATCCATGCCACTGCCTTGGTCACCTCATTACCAATAAGATGTTGTAGTACTTCACAGACTCCCTTTACAAATATCTGTGATCCAATAATTAAGCAATCTATTCCTTTTAAAATGGAATACACCTTGGTCTGGCTGTAGCTTCAGGGTGAACCACTTTCCCAATATGTTCAATATCCAGGGCTCAGGGCCCAGAATGCAACATCAATAGCTCTTCTTCAAAGAGCTGTCTACACTGGCTGATTCCATTTCCTTGTCTCTTACTGTCTCCTCTTCTCACTCCAAGCTTCTCACACCCTCTCGCCCACCAGCAAGGTCTACTAAGGGCATCAACAGCCTCCACATCTATGCATCATTGGTCTGCTGTCCATCCCTCAGAAATGTATCTTTTAAGTGACTACCGGTAACACACGACTTACATAAACTTCATCTCTGAGTTCTAGACCAGGTGTCCAAACCCTCTTCACATTTTCCTCTTAGATATTTCAAACATATCTCTCAATATGCTCTCAAAGAAAGAGGCCTTTTTTCCCAAACTCGGCCCTGGCTGGTGTCATTATCCCAGCAATCAGGGTAAAACTTGTTCGTCTCTCCCTAGATAATACCAGCAAATCTCCCTGGTCTCATCCTCTTTTGTCTAATCCCAGGAGCCAAAAAGACTTTTCAAAGTACAAATCTGAGTGTCAAACCGGTGTTTAAGGCCTTTCAACGGTTCTCACAATAAATCCAAAACTTCTCAACACGGATGTCAGGCGCTCTCGAGGTCTAATCTGCTTGGCCTTTCTAGAACCGCACGATTCTCTTTTGTTTTCTATCTCTTGCCCTTTATTTCTTCATGATGCCTACCTACGCCTTGCACATGCTGCTCCATGCTGAAACAAGTAGTGTGCCCCTTTTCAATCAGTGCAAGCCACCCACTCCTTTCCAAATGAGGCCTCTAGCCAGAGCAGGGGGAAATTCCCATTACATCTCATAATAACGCAAACATTCATTTTATGGCTCCTATCACACAACAGCAGACTTATGATGAATATTTTTGTTCCTCATGAAGATAAGGATTTAGTATATTTTTGCTGAGCTCAAGCATTTCTCCAGTGTATGGCATATATTGTACTTTATATGCATTATTTGTTCTTATTTTTATGACTGGTGTGCATGTGTGTGTGTATCTGTGTGTGAACTTATGCATCTGTGTACAGAGGCCAGAGGTTGGCATCGGGTGTCTCTTCTACTACTTTTCACCCTGATTTTTAATCAGGTTCTCTCAGTGAACCTATAGCTCCAATTATGTATAGATCAGTGATGGGTGAGCCTCCCGGATCTAGTGATGAGGTTTCAGATGCGCATCACCACACCTGGCTGTGATGTGGTTCTGCAGATCTGAACCCAGGTTAGATTTATGTATTCAATGACTCAATGAAATTCCAAATACTAAAACTGTACTAAGTCTTTACTGAATGAGATATGACTGTAAGAACGATTGACTGAATGACTGAAAGAATGGCCTTCAAAGCTGATGAGATGATTGTGGTAGAGGAGTCTGATGAGCTAGTTCTTTGCAGCCTAGGTATACAAGAAAGCCTTTAATCCCAGAACTTGAGAGGCAGAGGCAGGTGGATTTCTTGAGTTTGAGGCCAGCCTGGTCTACAGAGTGAGTTTCATGAGAGCCAGGGATACACAGAAAGACCTTGGAGAGAGAGAGAGAGAGAGAGAGAGAGAGAGAGAGTAAATTATAAATTATTGGTAAAACATAACAAATATTATTCCATCTGAGTTTACAAGACAGTAAGAGATTCTTCAGAGTCAAATACACAAGAGAAGTGTGAAAATCAGAGCCAAGTCCCTGATGGAGGAGGCTGTCCTGAGAGGAGGGGAGAGATTTCTTGTTCTGGCGTCATGGGATTTGTATTACAGCATCTGAGTTGTTCAAGGTAGAATCACCAGGGTCTACATGAAGAGTGAGGGCAGGGTGGAAACTGAGACTTCCACATGAAGCTAGAGTTCTCAGAGCTCTGTCCCCTGTGATAGTGTAGACCAGGACATGGTCTATGAGCAAAGCCGACAGTTTAGATACTTGCCTGAAGCTGGGGCTACAATTCAGTGCAGAGACTTCTGGGATCTTTACCCTAAAGAAAGAAACTTGCTTCCTCAGCATAACCCTGTGGACTCCAATAACAGTGCTCACAGCCTCTGTGGAGAAGCCCCTGAAGAAAACTCACCAGCCCAAATTGCAAATCACAGATGGACAGACACATAGGTCAGGAACTCACCATGTCACACTCCATGCTTTAGTCCCTGACAAATTAAGGAAACTTTCAGTTTTAGGGATTGGCAGAACAGGTAAACTAAGAACCAAGCTATCATCTGTCCATCTTCATTTTCTTTCCGCTGCTATGACAAAATACCTCGACCAAAGCGACTTAGGGGACAAAGGGTCTATTTTAGGTCACAATTGTGGGTTACAGTCCATCATTGCAGGGACGTCAAGGTAGCAGGAACGAGAAGCAACTGGATTTCAGAGCAGACAGAAATGAACATATGCATGGGCGCTTGAATAAGCCTCCCTTTTCCTTTTTCATACAGTTCAGGACCCAAACCCGGGGGACAGTGCCACCTACAGTGAGTGTGCCTTCCCACTTTAAATGATGCAATGAAGATAAATAATCTCTACAGATAAACCTGGAGTCCAACCTAGACCATCCTTCGCTGAGACTCTCACCTCAGGGCATTCTAGAATGGGATACATTGACAATTAAACTGTCACACACATGAATTGAAGGTTAAGATTTAACTGTATAGTCCTTTCCCCCACACATGTTGTAGATCATGTAGATCATGTTAAGCCTTGTGGCTGTCATGCAATGTTGGATCATCCATTCTTTTACTAAGCTTTTTCAGTTCCAACCTCTTCGTGCCTTTTGGCTCCATGCATTGTAGACACACAATTGTATTTTTCTCTTAAGAAAAATTGCATCATTTCTACCTCCCCCCCAAAGAAAACCATTCAAATGTTTCTGCAGATTATATATATATATATATATATATATATGTATGTATGTATATATCTGAATAAAGTCCGTGAAGAACCCTCCAGAAGGCCCAAACATTACAAACACGGCACTGGCAGGTCTCACCCTCCCTACTTCCTCTTTCCTTGATAAACTGTTAGATGACATTCCTAAAGCTAGCCACCAAATTCTATTCCTTTATTTAGCCACTTCCTTCTGCCTAACTCCTTCCTGAGGCTCAGCACCAAGATGACACTCGGCCCAATTTTGAGAGCATAAACTTCACTAATTACAGTGAATAGGTGTCATTTGGTTAGAAAAATAACTTCCCAATGGCAAACTAGCCTCTTGGATCTTGGACCGGAGGTTCTCTGGAAAGTAAAATACTGCAGTGACCCTGGGGAAGGACTAGAGGGGAGATGGAAGGGTTCAGTAGGGGGATATGGGGAGAAATATGTCCAACATGCTGTATATACTTATATGAAAAAGTCCTATAATTCAGCACCATGAATAACGCACAAGAAAAATAAAAGCAAATATGAAAAGCTCTTTTTCTAATTCATTACATTCCTATGTAACAGTTATGCAGTGCTTTGTTTTTCTTTTATTTATTTCTTTATTATTTCTAAACTTCATATGACTGAAAACAGTTTAATGTATTGTGATCAGCATTAAAGAAATGAAGTAGGCGAGCACCATCTGCATGTGTGGTCCATAGTGATGATGAGTATTCTTTAGAGAACTTGTGCATGTGTGTAAGTATGTGTGTGTAAGTGTATGTGTGCATATGTATATATATGCATGTGTGTTTGTGTCTGCACATATGTGTGAGTGTGCGTATATATAGATATGTGTGCATGTGTATGGGCCTTTGAGTATATGTGTATGTATATATATATATATATGTGTGTGTGTGTGTGTGTATGTGTATGGGTGTTTGAGTATATGTGTATGTATGTGTGCATATATGCATATGTGTGTATGTATGTAGACATGCATAAGTATGTGTATATGTTTACATG